TGCTCGAGGATTATTATGTAATGTCAGCCGCTTGAACAAAGCAGCCCCTACATCCGACTTCATGGCCGTCTAACTTTAAGAGCTTTACACCCTCGTTAGCCAAATGTAGGAAGTGCGTGAGTACACTCTTGCCGCTTGTATCTCACTGATTACATGAGTACATGTTCGAAAGATAATTGCATTATTAGTGTTTATGATAGTATCAATCATAATGCCACCATTCTCATTATGCTCTCGGGTTAAATTTGAGTCGGCATATTTGCCGCTTGTATTAGAGTAAGCTTGGGCTCCTGACTAATGGAGAAGCTACTTGGCTGTATAATGCCGCTTGGCTACTCACACAAGGTGAGTTAACTTGATCATCCTTCATGATCATCAGGGTACCAAGTGTCGGCTGCCTCAATGATCAAGTGTCGACTGCCGCATTGATAATACATCTTAAAATATCAATCATGCTTGAGAATTCAAGCAAGCTTTTAACCGTATGCATATTATTGTCATCCACGTGAATAACAAAAGACAAATTCAATCATTGGTAATGATTGAATAATGATAGTGATGAATTCAATGGTGCCGCTTGATGATTGACAAGGGCGGCTGTAATCAGTAATTTATGCTAGTACATGCGGTTTACATATACTTAGATACATGAAGATTAATGCCGTATGTATAACCTTGTAAATATGATATTACTCTTCCAAAGCTTTGTCATAAATGAATATGAAAAATAACAAATGGGAAGAGTAAGCTGCTTGAGAACGAACAACCAGGCGCTTGGCTTATTTCATTCGGCTACCACCTCTATAAATCAAGCATCCAAACATCCGGCTTTGAGGTGTGAACAAGGCAACCATGGTAGCCGGTTTTGAACATAGTAGCCGCATAATTGATGAATATAGCAGCCGTTTGCAGCACCTTTGAGGATGAACTAAGCAACCCCTACGACTGGTAGGTGCGGCTGCTCTCCCAAGGTGAGCTACCTCGCTAGAGACATGGTCATGCAGGCGCTGTTGCTGGCTGACATCACTGATGATGGTGACCGGCTACCCTTATTAAAACAAGTGGAGTACGTATCTAATCCCAATATGATAGTTTGTTGCCGCCTGGCAACTTTTTTCTCCAACTCATGCAAATTATTATGATAAAATGCCGCTTGAGTGGAGTTTAAAATTGTTCTTACCTTTATAATTATAAAAGGAAGACTTTTATGATTATAATATAAGTAATATGAATTTAAAATTGTGCTTTGGTGGGCTTGTACTCATGCGGCACATGAGAATGCCGTTTGGCAGCTACTTGAGTGTAAAAAGATTGCCACTTGTATTTATACAAGTTGCAGCTTCCCCATCATTCATGGATAATGAAGGAGGATTGTTCAGGTTTTGCCGCATGCATAGGGTAGTGTTTAACAACACTATTGGTTTAATTAAAAACCTTTACTCTTTTATTTCTACTTTTTACAAAAGATAAATAAGCTTGTTCCACTAGTTGTCAAAACTAGTGGAATCTATAGATAGAGTAGAATGCCGGCTGTATGCATCCGGCTGACTCATTATGCGGCCGACTCATTATATGAGTCAGATTAAAATAGGGGAGTTGGCCAATTTAGCCCTCACCCCTAATAAATCATCCCCCAACTTAGATCAAACGGCATTGCCTTTGAACCTTCAATTGTGAGAATAAAAAATGCATGACTTAGTCTGACAGGCCTTTTTGGCCGCCTGATTCTTGACATTCAGCCTCATTACGCCTGATGTACTTAACATCCGGCCTCATGACGCCTGCTGCCTCCCAAAGGAGGCTCCCCTCTTGATTCGGTGATCCACTACCGTTGTGCCATTACAAATGTGTCTCCCCACAGACGGCGCCAAATGTTTTGGGGTTTTTTGTACGTACCCGAATGGAGGGTGTGTACGTCCCTCGGGAGACAGATCTACAATGCAACACTCGAACGGTCCGATCACCTGCAAAACAACGGACCCCGGAGGGGCCGGAGGTCCGCCTCCGATGATCAAGTCAGTGACCGAAATAATGTATTTTTGAGAGAGAAAGTAGAGAGAAGGGAGAGTAAATGTGGGGGGCATTGCCCTTGGAGAGAGAATTGGATCCCTTAAAACTAATGTAATGATCAGTATTTATAGAGCATTGGGATATGTGCCTCTTAGGTTATTTAACCTAAATAGATTGGCTTCCCACCGTTTTCCGGTTTCAAGGGTTGTGGGCTTAGAGCCCATTTTCACCCTTCTATCATTGAGTGACACGTTTCATGCTCTAAATGGCCCATTGAGCGCTGAGCTTAGGGACACGTGTTGCGGTGGCATTGGTCCACATATAGGGGGTATTTTTCATTGCACATTCTATTCCTAATTCTTCATATCCCTCCATCTAAATCTTCTTTCACATTCTATTCCAATCTTCCTTCACTTCCTCCATCCATTGCATGTTGAATAAAGCTTGAGTCAAACAATTAATAATGAATATCCCCAAATTCCTTTTCCACAGTACTTGGTCAAGGAGAGAAGGGCGATTAGTCAAGGACAACACCTTTGTTCAAGTCTCACTTTTTGATAAACCGATTCGTCAAAAGAGGAAGGCTAAGAAGATAATGGCAACTCAAGAAGAAGTCAATGAGCTTAGGAACCAATTGGTTACCGTGAATGAGACACTGAAGCTACTCACACTCAAGATCAATGATCCCGTGAAGCAACAACAGATGGACCTCATGCAAGAGAGTCTAAGCAAGCTATCTAGTGACTATAAATTTCAGGGCATGAGTTCACAAGGAGTCTCGCTGGACAAGGAACTTCTTCCGCATAAGTTTAACGCCACTGACATCCCTAAATTGAAGGGAACAGATAACCCTTATTTTCATCTAAGAGCTTTCGAAACTATAATGAACATTAAGGGTATCGATAAGAAGGTTTTCCCCTCTCTGTTCCCACTATCTCTTGAAACCGTTTGCCAACAATAGTTCTTCTCCCTCGACAAGGAGAAAACCTCTACTTGGGAATCGATAGTGAACGCTTTCGTTGACAGGTACAAGTTCAATATCCAAGTTGAAACCGACCATAGAAAACTTGAGATGCTAAGACAAAAAGAGAATGAAGGCTTTACTTCTTTCTTTAATAAATGGAGGGAAACTTCCGCCAAGATTATTGAGGTCCCCACCGAAAAGGAGTCTTTGAGGATGTTTATCAAGAATCTCCAAGAAAAATATGCAAAGCACTTAAAATATCAAAACAACTTAAATACTTTCAAAGCCGTCTATAATATAGGCATTGACATAGAAGATGACCTTCTGAAAGATAATGGTGAGAGAGGAATGAAGAACGACCATCCTTCTTATTCCTCTCCCATTAATGAAGTACATACCACAAACACCTCTAAATCGCGAATCCAAAGGTCAAAAAGAGTGTTCATTCCACTTGGTATGAGTTATGAAACGGCTTTCGAGAAGCTACATCACAAAGGACTAGTCATGCCCATAGGGCCTATCAAAGATCCAGTTCTAGAAGCCAGGCCACCTAAGTGGGACCCTAACAAGCACTACAAATATCACCAAGGAAAGGGTCACGACACTGAGGAGTGTTGGAAACTCAAAGAAGTTATTCAAGATCTGATCGATAACAATGAAACTTCCAAGATTCTAGCCATCGAAGATGACCAAGCATCCTTCGATCCATCACTTCTTATCACACCTGTAGGAGAGCCCATGATCGAGACAGCTTATATAACCTCTCTCGATGAGGTGGCCATGATTGGGGAGGATTGTTGATCTTAAGTTTTGATGATGACTCAAGGAACCTAAGCAAACCCATAGGGGCTTTAACTTTTGTCTATTAGCTTTGATGTATTGACAGGTTTTATATGCAACGAAGTTCTAGAGTTAGAATGGAGCATGGAACAAGTCTAAAGGATGAGCTATGGATGAGCATAGAAGACAATCAGAAGCCAAGTTCCTTGAGTGAGGAACTGAAGCTCCAGAGTCGAAGCTTCACTGTGTTCCAAGGAGTCTATTGTATCTTTATTATTTATTTTAGGCTTCTTGTATATATGTTAAGTTCATTGATTGATAAGATTTAAGTGGATTTAATTTCAGTTTATAAAGATTTTATTTTTCCTTTCTTTAACAAAGATTTAATTTTATTTCGGAAAAATATCTTTTAAGTAAAAATATCTTATTTATTAAAAGATTTTCTGTTCTGATTTTATCCTAACATTTTGGAAAATCTGACTTGGTAAAACTATTTTTTAAACGGCTTTTACTTGGTAAAGGAGGTTGAGAAAATATAGGAACCACTTCCTTACTGTGCGCTTCAGCTTGCTGCCCAAGCATCCACGAACTGCACTTCCTTATTTCATGGAAGTTGTGGTATAGTGGGAGCTAAGGAAAACGTAAGGTTTTCAACTGCTTTCCTCCTGTATAAATAGGATTCGTTTTCTGTTTTGAAAAGCACACTTGAGCATTACGATTCTTAGCTTTTATAAAAGAGTCAAAAATCCACTTAAGTCCTTGAGTGTCTTTGTACTTAGCATCTTAAAAGTTTTATCTTGAGTTGTATTGGGGTAGAGTTTGGGTAAACTCTAGAGTGTGTAATTGCTTTGAGTGAAGCAAGGAGAAAGAGAGAGATTTGAGAGCTCAACTGATTGAGGGATCAGTTGAGGGGGAACTTAAGTTCGTAGAGGAACTTGATTTTTAGAGTCTTAATTTGTAATAGGTTGTTTGCCCTATTATTATTAAGAGTTGTGATTAAAATCCCTTGTGTTCGTGGTTTTTCTTCTTGATTAGGGCCAAGAAGTTTTCCACATAAAATCTCTCTTGCACTTTAAAGTTTTTGTTTAAATTTCTTTAAGAATTCCGCAAAAATTACCCTAGTTCCTCAACAATGCAATTCACCCCCCCCCCCTCTTGTATTGTTCATTCAAGTCAACAATTGGTATCAGAGCAGGTTCCTCGAAGAAATCAGGAAACCCTGACGAGTTAAGTTCCTGGAATCAAGATGAACAATCACGAGAAACTGGAAAAAGGTTACTCTACGCAGCGTCCTCCTATGTTCAATGGAAAATTCTACACCTATTGGAAAAACAAGATGGAGATTTTTATCAAAGCCGACAACTACCAGGTTTGGAGAGTGATCGAAGTTGGTGATTTCAAAATTACCAAAACTACTGGTGAAAATGAGGTAATACCTAAACCCATGTATGAATTTGATAAGGAAGATTTTGAGAAAATGGAAATTAATGCACTTGCTGTTAAATTACTTCATTGTGGACTTGGACCCAATGAACACAACCGTGTTATGGGTTGTAAAAATGCTAAAGAAATTTGGGATTTACTTCAAGTCACTCATGAAGGAACTAACGAAGCGAAACGCTCTAAGATTGACTTGCTTATGTCAAAATATGAACGGTTTGAAATGCAACCAAAAGAATCAATTCAAGAAATGTTAACTAGTTTTACTAACATTACTAATGAGCTTGTTTCTCTTGGAAAGCAAATCCCTATTGATGAGCAGGTCAGAAAAGTTCTAAGAAGCCTCCCCCAAGATGAGAGATGGAGAGCCAAGGTAACAGCCTTACAAGAAACAAAGGACCTCACAAAGTTCAATATTGAGCAACTTGCTGGTTGCCTCGTAACTCATGAGTTGCACCTAGGAACAAGCAACAGTGAAGGAAACCGAGGAAAAGGCTTCGCTCTCAAAGCTGGAGATCAAGAAGACTCTGAAGTCGATGAAGAAGAGGCTGCTATGCTGGTGAGAAGGTTCAAAAGAATGTTCAACCGAAACAACAAGTCAAGGAACTTCACCAAGAAACCCTCTACTTCAAAAGCTGACTCTGGTTGTCACAAATGTGGATCTCTAGAACACTTTATTCGTGAGTGTCCACTTTGGGATACAGAGAAAGGTAAAGGGAAGGCAAAGGAACAAGTTAAGAGAAACTACAACAAAACTCCTTTCAATAAAACAGACATTAGGAAGGCTATGATTGCTGCCTGGGGAGATTCTGAAAGTGAGGATGAAGAGAAACAACCTGAAGAAGAAACAGCTCATCTATGTCTGATGGCCAAACGTGATGAAAAGGCTTACAACGATGAGCTTGCTAAAGAGGTATTCCTTGATCCTAATGTGCTTAAAACTTATACTAAAGATGCTCTCATTGATTTAGTGTTTGAATTGGAAGATGACTGGACTCACACTAGTATTCGTCTAGGTGAAAGTCAAAGAGCTCTCAAAGTCTGCAAGGAACACAGTACGTGGATTAAGAATCAACAAACTGATGTTCAAAGTAGATTTTTTGAACTTTTTGATAAAAATCTTCTCTTAAAAGAAATGAATGAGAAACTCAAGTTTGAGAATATCATGGTTAATGTAGAACTGACTCAATACAAAATTGCTAATGCTGAAGTGTCTCCAAGTTCCTCCTCTGAATCTTTGCCTAAATTTAATGAGGATTTTGAAAAATTAAAATATGATCTTGACGAGTTAAGAATTGAAAAGGAAAAATTGGAGAAGGAACTTGAGCTTCGAAAAGAAAGAAGCATTAGCCAGTTTGGAATTCCTAAGTGGATTGAGAATGCTCAAACCAAAAGAACTGAAGGTCTAGGATTCATACGTTCTAAGCATAAGGGCAAGAAAAAATATGTAGACCTGCCTAGTTATAAAGTATGTACCTTCTGTGGTAAAACTGGTCATCTTGTTGCCATGTGTAGCAAGAAGGAACAGTCTGTTAGCAAGAATGTTAGGCAAGTTTGGGTAAAGAAATCTGATATTGCTTCAACGTCCAAGGAACCCAAGGAAACCTGGGTTCCTGAATCTAACCAATAAGTTCTTTTGCAGGTCCTAGTGAGGGGGAACAACACGTGGTACCTCGACAGTAGTTGTTCAAAGCATATGACAGGAGATAAATCAAAGTTTCTCTCACTAAAGGCCTATCCAGGAGGAACTGTGACCTTTAGAGACAACAAAAAGGGTGAAGTAATTGCTAAAGGAAAAGTAGGAAGGTCCAATTCTCATTCAATAGAAAATGTACTTTTGGTCGAGGGTTTGATGCACAATTTGCTTAGCATATCACAATTTTGTGATAAAGGAAACTCTGTAAGTTTTACCTCTGATTCATGCAACATCATTAATGATAAAACAGGAAGGGTTGTTCTTGAAGGAACTAGAAAAGGGAACACATACATTGTGGATCTAAATTCTGTTCCAAGGAACAACCTTACCTGCTTGAGTGCTGATTAGGGGATTTTTATCCACCAATCACCGTCTGACAAGTGGACCAACCAGGTTCCGCCACGGGTCCTTCACGAAGGCCAATAGGAGCCTGCCACGTGTCAATCACAGATACGTCCTCTACGGACCAATCAAGGCACGCCACGTGTCCACCCATGCCAAATGGGAAAACCGGCCATCAAGGCCCAATCCAGTCTAGAGGCCCGGTCAGCCCTAGGTTTACCTTAAACCTAGAGAGTGGCACGCTTCTCAAGGCTATAAATACTTAATTAATCCTCATTAGTGAAAAGATGAAGAAATCAAGCAGAGAAGAACAGAAACATTACGGAACACTAATAACCGGCTAATCTCGCTAACGACGCAGATTACCAACACTAAGCACTCTCACCTCGAGAGATCTTATTACTTTAATTTCCGTATTAATTACTCCTTAATCAGGTACTAACTTGACCGTTGGAGGCGGAGCTCTCAGGAGTCTCCGTTATTTTGCAGGTACAGGCGTCCGGTTCCAGTCTCGGAATTGTAACTCTCCCGCAGGACATCAGAAAACCCCGAAACATTTGGCGCCGTCTGTGGGGAGAGTACTTCAGAGATGGCATCCAAGTCTGTACCGACTCCAGAAGAGAGGCGTCCCCTAGACGATCCTCAAGTTCAGTCGGACCATGATACCGAAAGTGAATTTGAAGTTGAAACTCATACAGCTCCAGACGGGACCCTAAGGGCCCGACGTACCCGTCATACCGAAAGGAGGGAACGGGAGCATCTTCAAACAGGAAGCGAGCCAGCAGGCGCACTGCCTGCTCGGCAACAGCCGACTGATGGGTCTGCTCCCATCACAAGGAACGAACTCATGACCTTCATGAGGGACTTCAAGGGAGAGATTCAAGAGTTGATCAACAAAAAGCCGCCTGCTTCAGTCAAAGAGCAGTCGGCCAAAAAGCCTTCCACTTCACTGAAGAGGAAGCCAGTTCAAGGGCGAGAGGCGACTCCTCATCCTAAATCCAAGAAGCGGGAGCCACTTGCTCTTGATTTCACAAAATTCCGTTATCCTACGGGAAATAGGAAACCGGTTCGTCATATTCAGGCGGACGGGTCAAAGCAAACGTTCACAGATGCTCGGCTACTGCTAGAGCAGAAGAAAAGTGACCGATTGTCAGAGTCGGCTTCTACTTCAAATTTCCAAGACAGTTTGCGAAATGCCTCGATGAGGCATACTCAGTCGTACCATGAAAGTCAGTCAGGCGGCACCTCCCGTCAGTCCGGCTTTCATAGTGCCCAGGCGGTACCAAACTTACCATTTGTGCCGCAACAACAGTATTTTATGCAGCCACCTCCATTTGGTGGACCTGCAGCAAAAAACGTCCAACCTATGGACTGGCAGCTACGGCTGCTTAGACTTGGTGAACAGCCATCGGCTTTCTCCAAGGAAATTACTGAAGCCGCTCAGCCGGCCAAAGTAAAAAATGTTCTAGTAGGCGCCTATGACGGCACTACTAACCCAGAAGACCACCTGATGGCATTCACCAACCTGATGTACCTTCAAGGGTTGGATGATCCCACTTGGTGCAAGTGTTTCCCAGCGACTCTCAAGGGAATTGCACAGCAATGGTTCGGCAACCTGCCGACTGGTTGTGTAAACAGCTTCAGGACGCTTGCTTACTTATTTGCCTCCAACTTCGCTATGAACATCCCTGCGAAGAAAACGACCCTTGATTTGGGAACAATTCAGCAGGGCGAGAAGGAGGGGCTTCGTTCTTACATCAGGCGGTTCAATCTGATGAGAATACAGATTCAAGGGTTACCGGATGAGGTAGCTTATACTGACTTTTTTAGAGGTCTCAAAGACGGGTCTACCTTCAAATTTGATTTAGTTCGAAAAAGGGTGGCGACTCTTCAAGAGGCCTTGATTGAAGCAGAAGCCTATATACAGGCGACTGATCTGTGTACAATAAAACAGTCGGACGGGAAAAGGTTCGACAAAAGAGAGGGACGACAGAAACAGTCGTCCAACAAAGATGAGAAAAGAAAAGAGGTATGGGCGGCTGATTCCTCTAAACAGCCGGCCCAGAAAAAGAAAAAAGAATTCAAACCATACTCCCCAAAGTATGTGTTTAACAAGGATAACCAGTTTATCCTAAAAGAAATAAAGGGACGGTTCTCAATTGAGAAGCCGCTCCCCATGAAGGGTTCTGCAAACAACCGGAACCAAGATAAAATCTGTGCTTATCATGATGACGTTGGTCATCACACCAATGACTGCATCAGTCTCATGCGGTACCTAGACCGCTTGGCTGAGCAAGGTGATCTTGACACTTATTTCAAGAAACCTACGGGGAACACTTCCTCAAAAAAGCAGTCGTCCAAAAAGAATCAACAGGTTGACAGTTCTGATACAGATGATGCAGTCGTCTACACCATTGCAGGCGGCTTCTCAGGAGGCGGCCCCACTATTAGGGGCAACAAAGATAATATAAGGCGGTTAGATGTAAATTCCGTTCACCAAGAACGGCCGTCCAAATATACATTTCCTGAGATTGTCATCACTGAAGAGGATCTAGGAGGGGTAAGGGGGCCGCATGACGACCCTCTCGTTAATGAATGTAAAGTGGCCAACTAGAGAGTTGGCCGAATCCTCATAGATACCGGGACCTCCTCAGATCTCATCAGCAGCAAATGTCTGTCGAAACTGAAGTATCAGACTGACTGCATACATCCGGCCTCCCACCCTTTAATAGGGTTTGGAGGAGGAGTCGTCCACCCACTGGGACGAGTAGATTTACCCATTCGCCTGGGCGAAAAAGGGGAAGGACGACACATGGTAGTCCGGTTCCTAGTAGTAGAGGAACTCTCGGCCTACAACATGATTCTGGGTCGACCAACCCTGAATAATTCCAAGGCTGTTATAATCCCGTCTCTTATGCTGCTTAAGTTTGAGAGGGATAATGGAACAGTCGGCTCCCTAAGGGGAGATCAGAGGATGGCGCGAGAGTGCTATCTCTCGGATGTCAAGCCCACTGTTATGGCCACTGGGTCAAGTGGAGAAAAAACAGACCTTGACAATTTCAAGGAGAGTGCGCCTGTTCAAGAAACAGGCGACAAAAAGAGAAAGGCGTCCCAGACAGGGTCCGCAAGAAAAGCAAGAAAATAGCAATCATTGGCAGAGGAGCGGCCGGATGAGTTCCGCCCTCAGCCGGCTGGAGAGCATGCGGACCTAATATTAGACGACTCACGTCCTGACCGAACAGTCAAAGTTGGGACGACTGCTCTGAGAAACCTTGGTAACGACTTTCACAACCTGTTGAAAGAATACAAGGACATCTTTGCATTTGAAGTCCATGAAATGCCAGGCATTAGTCCTGATCTGGCAGTACATAAACTCGCTGTGGATCCGAAAAAGAAGCCGGTACGGCAAAAGAAGCGGAACCATGGTGAAGAAAGAGGTCAGGCGGCAGCCGCCGAAGTCAAAAAATTACTTGATGCAGGGTTCATTCGGCAATGTTACTTCCCAGATTGGGTTGCAAATGTGGTGCTTGTTAAAAAGCCGAATGGCACCTGGCGAATGTGTGTAGACTACACAGACTTGAACAAGGCGTGCCCCAAAGACAGTTACCCTCTGCCTAAAATTGATAACCTGGTCGACTCAACAGCCGGCCATGCCTTGATGAGTTTTATGGACGCCTATTCTGGTTTTCATCAAATTCCTTTATGGAAGAAAGATCAGGAGAAGACGGCCTTCGTCACTGATCAGGGATTATACTGTTACACGGTCATGCCGTTTGGTCTTAAGAATGCCCCGGCTACCTTCCAACGAATGATAAACACAGTGTTCTTTGATCAGATTGGGAGAAACGTCGAGGCATATATTGATGATATGATTGTCAAGACTAAACTTCAGAAAGATCATCTGGCGGACCTCCGAGAAACTTTCGCCACACTCAGGCGGCACCATGTCATGCTCAATCCCAAGAAATGTGTATTTGGAGTTGAGTCTGGGAAATTTCTCGGATTCCTTATCAATCAGAGAGGAATAGAGGCGAACCCTGAGAAGGTACAGGCGGTCATTGACATGCAGTCGCCTCGTACCGTCCGAGAGGTTCAGAAGTTAACAGGTTGTCTGGCGGCCTTGGGGAGATTCCTAAGCCGATCAGGCGACAAATGCCTATACTTTTTCCAGGCAATTAAGAAGAAGGCAAGGTTCGAATGGGGGCCGGATGCTGAGGCCGCCTTCCAGAAATTAAAGGTTCACTTGCATTCCTTGCCGAGGCTGGTCAGCCCTTTGCCCAAAGAAGATCTCTACATGTACCTGGCTGTTTCTGATCATGCGTTAAGCGCTGTGCTCCTTGCTGAAAGGGACGGCTGTCAGCTCCCGGTCTACTTTGTCAGTCACGTACTGAAAAATGCCGAGTTGAGGTATCCCCTAGTGGAAGAAATTTGGTCTTGCACTCTTCATGGCTGTTAAAAAATTGAAGCCCTACTTTTTGGCACATGCAGTCGTCGTGTATACCGACCAACCAATCAAGCGGCCCCTTACCATCCATGGAGTCAACAGGACGAATGATCAAATGGGCCATAGAAATACAGAGCCTCGAAGTTAC